GGGGGGGGGGGGGGGGCAGCAGAGAGAGAAGTTCTTTGCCAGTTGATAGAGTATTTACGAATGGTGAATTGACACCGATTTATGTTCCAGAGGTGTACTGTTGCAGGTAGTGTCCTGTAAATACATACAAGTGAGCTTGAGGCAGCAGCAGTTGGGGAGAAAATGGTCAATATCTTTACCGAAGTGTGAAAAACTGAAGGTTTAAAACTTGCAGTGGGACGGCTTCTGGCAGGTTGATGCCAGGCTGCGGTGCGTAGCTTTGCCTGTGTCGTCAGGTGGTTCCGAGGCGGGAAGGTGAGGTTTGCCAGAAGCTGCTTGGAGCGCTTCTGCGGGGTTCTGTGTCCTGAGTGCAGTTGCTTCAGAGGTAGGGAATGGTTTTACCCCTTTTAGTACGTCTTCCAAAGGCAGGATTGCTGTTAAATTTAGTGGTGTAAATGAAAAAGAGGGGGGAAAAAAAGCAGCCCATTAACATGTAATAACATTTCTTGTGTGTAGTTCTCAGCTGTATGTAATGCATAGGCACACAGTGGGATTTTCTGCTGGTCACCAAGCCCCGCAAACACTGTTGCAGTAGGAATAATATTTTTGGCATACTGGTGAGACAAAGTGTCTTCTGTAGTCTTTGGGGAGAAAATTGAAAATCCCTGAAGTATGCCTGTAGATAATGGTGAATTTTTCCAGAAGTCAGTTTTGCACCAGAGCTTGTGCCAGCAGGGAGTCCTTAGGCTGGCCAGATGGATGTAACCTGGAACTTGAGTTCTGCAGCGGGAAATCTTACTGTAGGGATATGTTTTGGTGAGAGTTGTAAATAGCTCTTCTTTGTTTGTCGTAAAAATGTATTTCACTGGTTTAGGGCACGAATTTTCTGCTTGTTTAATGTTCAACTCTCTCTCGCAGTAACAGTGCTCTTAATTTAGGACCGTTGTCTGGACTAATCTAGACATCTTGCTGCTTTGAGCCGTAAATCACAGCCTGCGGTTCTTAGCTTTAGTGTTTGTGCCTTGGCACACGAGGTACGGTACCTGTAAGCTAGCCTGTATCATGCATATCCGCGGAGATGTGGCACTCATGTTCGGTGTTCTCTCTGATGCCCGTTGCATTCATGTTAGTACTGCATTTCATGGGCACCCATGGATGGGCTTGGAGAGAACATTTATGTATCAAAAAAGGGGAAGAAATCAACCAAGTTGCTCTGGACTAGCGGTGCTCTAGGTAGCTCTCCAGACTCCTGTTAATGTTTTTCACGCAATGAAGCACTTAATGAATTTGCAGGTGGCCTGACTTGATTTTTCTGAAGTATAAACCCTCCCTTTCTTAAAGTGTTGTGGGGTGTTTTGTGATAGGGCTGAATATGATGATTGTTTCCCCTGATCTTTCTCACACCAGCGGCAAGTATTAGATGAGAACAGAGAAAGGAGGATGAGAGTGGAGCATAAAGTGGGGAAGGGCAGCAATGGTTGTATAATGAGCATGTCTTGTTTCTACGGCATGTTTAAGGCACCGATAGTGTTGAACAGATAATGTCTAATTATGAAAATGTGTTTTATCTCAAAATATTACCAAAAATAGTGGAAAATATATCTGAACATGGGACAGATTCTGAAATGTAGTTTGGCTCTCGTTAAGGTATGAGTCAGGTATCCTCCTTGTTTACTCTGGCAAGCTGTCATAAAATACAGTGTGTTATGTTGAGCAATTCCATGAGCTTCTATTTAGAGATCATGTGGGCCACCGGTGGGACAGTATTAGTGCTGCTCAATTGGAATACCTGCTTGCTTAGTTGTTCTGCGTATCTGTTCTTGTCTAGAAGACATTAATGACTGGGGTAATATGAAGTGCCAGCTTGGGAACAGATGTTTTGATTTTGAATTTTAGTCAACTATAGTGTTTCTACTCAAAATCCTTGTGCTACATTAGTTGAAATTACTTTTAAAATAGAAGTGAAAGGCATTTTGGGAAACCATTCAGTCCCACCCTGGCTCTCAGATTCAGCTATACCCAAGTTGTTACTGATAGCTTTTTGTAATAACAAGGTAGACAGACTTCTGGTTACAAAGATGTTACAGCCTCTTGTGTTAGTCTCTTTTGGTGGTTAACTGTCCAAACATGCATAACACTTTTTCAATATTTAATCTGAGTTGCCCGCGCTATAATTTAAGATCTTGTTAACTGTGATTTTTACAATAAACTGTTTTTCATGTAGAGTTTTTTTTTGTGATTTCAGCTGCCTTTTCAGTGAGTTGATCAGATGATTTTTATGGTTGTGTCCTATAATCTACAGTTAAACCATGATTATGATAATACACTTAAATTTTGTGTGCTTTCTAATACTTTAGATTTAGTATAAAACTTGAAAAATGCTAAAAATATTTTTCTAACTTGCCAAACAGGTTGAATCATTTATTTTGGACCAAGAAGATCTTGATAACCCAGTACTTAAAACCACGTCGGAGTTATTCTTATCGAGTGCTGCAGAAGGTACGGACTTGAGAACTGTGGATCCAGAAACACAAGCAAGACTAGAAGCCTTACTGGAGGCAGCAGGTACTTTCTTTGGTTTTGTTTTTGTTTTTTTTGTTTTTTTTCCTGAACCAAACTTGCACCCAGATCTGGCAACCTGCAGATTTTGACCCTAGTCACAGGTCTGGAAATTTACCATGATGATGGGGAGCAGAGCGTGGAAAACAGACTGCTAATTCTTCCAGATGTTGAGGGTTGCTTGGTCCAGTCTTGCTGTGCACACAGTAGTATTGCATTGACCAGATGACATCACACTTGTTACCAGAGGGAGGATTAAAGGGGTGAGAATGGAAGGATGTAGGCTTGCTAAAATAATGGGGTTTTCCTGCTGCTTTGGTCAATATATCATTATTAACTCATGACTCCAGAAGTTTACAGGTGGAATAGTTGTTTCTCTGCTTTGACTTTCACAAAAATATTTTGCCATTTTGTAGTTCTGAGAGATGACTTGGAAAATACATATTAATGTTCATGTTTTGGAACCAGGCTAGATGAACATGGTACCACTGCATTTGCTACTTTCATAGGGAAAGCTTGACTAACTGAAGTCTTTCTAAGGTTTGTGACTTGGATGTTTGCAATGGATTTGAAGATCAGTTTCAAAATTCCAGGGACAAAAAGATGTAAAAACCCTGTTTTGAAACAAATCCTGTTTGATCTTTATGGGTGCATCCTCAGACTAGTAGTAGTGTACTGAAATTGGAGTTTTCAGACTTCATCTCTGAACACACTTAAGCGCTAGATAATACAGCGTTAATTTGCAGGTGTTTAGATGTAAAGCTATGTACAGTCTTAAAGAAGAAATTAATTCTGAGGAAGCAGAGGGGGCAAGGGACTTGTGCTTTGGGTTCTTGTTGTGTTTTGAATTTGAAAAACATCCCAACGTAACAACATAGCATATCTCTTGTCAGCAGAAGGTTGCAGCAGCCTAATTAAAAGTGGTCCCCTAAAATTATTCGAACCTGCTGGAAGATAGACTGTTTCTGGGATACTCTGGACACTAAGAGAATTTGAATAATCTGATCCCTTTTGAAGCACTTTTAAAAAATAAAAATCAGTTTCAGTTTCTCTCGCGTACCTGATGACTGCTGTGTCCTAAAAACTATGCTAGCTTTATAAAGTGTCAGTGGAGGTGTCTGATGGCTAATGTTAAGAGGACAGTCCATCTCAGAGGTATGTGCTTACATCCAGGGTTGCAGTATTCAAACTGATTTCAGGGTGTTTAACAAATCTAGGAGGTACCGTTGCTTCTTGTAATACCTGTGAGAATGCTTTCATTAGATTTCTAAGCAGTAGTTGGCCACTTGTCCACTGGCTTAGAAGACTTGTTTTTAATCTGAGGTTTCCATGCTTCGATTCCCCAAGTCCTTGGAGTAGGGATGTAGAAAATGGGCAGGACAGAAGGAATCTGGAAAGAAGAGCAAATAAAAAGAGTGCTTTTGTTTGGGGGCTCAATCTCCCTCTCTACAAAAGTAATGCCACTTGATGGATGTGTGAGATTAAAAGGCTGAAAACACTCTTGAGAAGGTCCTCTAGTTAAGCAGTACTTGTCTTTCCCACTGTGAATTTGAAAACTAAAAATACCATTAGGTTAACCTAAAGGAGATGCTGAGAATCTGGTAATTTATTAATAAAAGCCATAATTTGAAAATGACTGAAAAAGAAGCTACTGTTGCTGAGAGAGATCCTGATATCTTCACTGGATTTCTCTAGCTGGTTTGGCTGAAAATATCCTTTCTAACCTAGGATGAGCTTCTAGGTTTCCATATGGCAACAAAGCAAGCAGCCGTGTTGGAACTTTGTTTTGCATTGTTTTGCAGTTTGGCAAAAGCAAGTGATTTCTCCTGTTGTTTTAGTCACCATTTAGTCCCCAGCAATAAGGATCGCTTGCAAAAGCAGATGGCAGAACTATTGCTCGAACCAGTAGTTTAGCTGTGGCCTTGCCTGATGTGGTTTCCAGGGTAGCTTGGCCTTTGTGGTGATGAACCCCTTTCCTGTGAGAGGCTTGACTCTGACTTTTAACCTAGAGGAAAATCGGTCCTTCATTTAGTGTCTTGGATTTCTTGGGGTTTCTCCCATGCAGGGTTCATGGCTATGTCATTAGGATCTTAACGAGAATGACTTGCAAAACTAGTTTTGCTCATTCTTCATGAATCCTTTAATGCTCAGATCTCACAGGGACATTCTGTTTATTAATTCTGGAAGGTAAGTTCTAGCAATTGCAGCTGGATGGGATAGTCGTCTTCAGATTGCTTATGCAGAAGTGGTTTTCAAACATTTCACTCTAAGATTTGTGGGAGTTTTGCTTTGTTTTTAAGTAGCTGTCTTGATTTGAGAGCTGGTTAGGCCTTCATATGCAAGTGTAGAGGCCAGGTGTTAGTTGAGCTGCTTAAAAATGTTTCCATACAGTATATTTACCCATCATAAGAGTGCTGGATATTTTTTTGCAGTTCAGCTTATTCTGTTTCCAAGAGGACTTAAAATATTTTGTGGTTTTGGATGCTGAGGGTGACAGCCTTAAGTAGTATTTCTAGCAAGAGGGCTGTGCCTTGCCCCCTTAACATAGCAGCAGATACACATACACACATGTGTCCATCTGCACGCAAACAGCGGTTACGTTCCTTATGTTTGCTGGGTCCTCTGAAAACCTGGCTGATTAACTTTAGTTTGGACAACCGTACTTCCTTCTCTGATCTGTTTAAGCAAAGCACAGGCACTTTGTTAATGAACAACTATCTTTAAACAACTGTCAGTGATTGTAGTATTTTACAGAAAAAATAGTTTTACATTCAGAAGACTGAGAAACTTTGCTGTTCTATGAATGTCATAAATATGAGTTGTTTCATCTTCAGAAATTGAAGATCAATTGAAACAATTGAATGCTGTTCTTTGGGAACTTATCCTAAACAAACCCAGTCTTTTGGGTTTGTTTGACTCATACTAGCAACGAAGGGATTTGTGGGTAAAATAACCTGTGGAAAGAGAACCATACTGTTTGGAGATGTTTCCGTTTTTCAGACTGTAATTAAACAGATTCTTAATGTTCTGAAAGTGATTCATGTTCTGCACTAGAAACATTCAGCTCCACTGTTAATGAAGATACTGTTGATTTCTTACAATAGTATTCCAGCTCTGAAGAAGCATGGTTCTTCTGTGGACCTTCAGTAAGGTTGCCTAGTAAACTTCCTGCCTAGGGACAGTAGTTGGCTGCTGGAGGATGAGCGCTCTTTGCTGCTGGGAACGAATGGTTATAGCGTTCAGAGCTCTTGCTTGTCTTGCAGGTTCCTCCATGGGTCCCTCAACGCATGTTCTTAAAAGGGTAAACTTACTTCCAAGGAGTTGGGAAAAGTTTGACAGATTAGAGCTGTTTCATTTGCTGGTCCTGCATTTTATAGGCATTAGGAAGGGAAAATGACTTGCCTACGTAGTGCAGCCTTTCTGGAGTACAGATTGTTTCTTACAGAGGGTAGGGAATGGTGTTGGTTGAAGCACGTGGTCCAATAAAAATCCTGGATGACCGTTTAGTGTATTCTACACCCAAAGCATGGAATTCCACGGAAAGTTGTAAAATGTCAAAATGTTAATCCCTGCAGTTAAAACACCCTGTTGGTAGTGTTTCAGCACGGTTTTGCTGAGTTTTCTGGGAAGCAACGTAGAACGTTACTATGCCTGTATCCTGCAGATATCTGTATTCTGTATCAGCAGATCTTTTGATCATGTTCCTTCTCAGTCTGAATGTTGAACCACTTTGACAGTGAAGCGTCAAAAAATAGATGGAGAAGAAAGTGGCAAAGAAACTCTTTGTCTAGCACTGGAGCACTTGGTATTCCTGTTGTGTATCTGCACAGGGGAGGAGTTTTGATAGTGATGAGTTCTTTAGAAGTTTTACTATTGTTTATAGAGAGGCTTGTGAGGAAAATCAGGGTGTTTTGGAGAGGAGCCGTGTTCAGCCAAGGGTTTTCTTAATGAAACAGGTGTGAGTAGTCCATCCTTATGTTCAAACAGGGAGCAGAGTTATATACTGCCTCCTTTTCTGTTGAAATAGGGGATTAAAGGTGACTAGAGACCCTCCTGTAGATGGTTTGGCGATTTGACTTTGAAGGATTAAATGCATTGTAAATGGTGAAAGAGAAATCTAGTTTTGATAACAAGTGTCTGTTAATACCTGGTGGATTTCAGTAGTTTGTTCAGGCCTGAGGGCCTGATGCTGCACTTTGGAAAGCTGGTAGGGTGAGGTGGCAGGGGGACGGGTTGTGTATTCTGGAACTGGGGGAGGCAAAAAGTGGAAGTAATCACCTACTTAGTGGAAATACAGAACACAGGTCAAAATATGAATGGGACCAGATAAAATCTGTCTGCTTTAGGATAAACTGAAAGGATAGAGTGAGATTCAGCAATTGTAAAATTGAATGCTTTCCAGCATGTGTATGTATCTCTCTATATTTATTCACTTGCCAAGCTGTCGACCAAACCTACTTTTTTTTGTGTGATGTGACCGAACTCGTTCATTATTCACAGACAGCAAGGGGTTTGTTGTTTGTTTTTTTCTTTTTTTTTTAATTAAAATAAAATAAAGTAAATGATATTTGTTTCCCTCAACATTAAGAGGACTTGAATGTGACAGGATAGACCTGAGATCCAGCACTACTGGGGAGTGAGCTGTGGTCTAAAAGACCAGTTCAAAAGATGCACAGGTTGCTTTCATCCTGCATCAGAGAGACCTCTTGGAAAGTGTCAAGAGTATGGGCTAGATAAATTCTTTGATTGTGGTGTTTGTGATCAATAAGAGTCATCTGGGGACCTGGTGTTTCTTTTTGCAGGGCTGATGAGTAAGTTGTGATTTTAATGGAGGTGGGCATCTAATCCATTAGAAACTTAACCTCTGAAGGGTTATGCAAGCTCCACTTCAAACTGTAGAAGTTGAGGGTGCAGAAAATGGATGATTTGTGTTTGTCAGTTTAATGGCTGCACTTCTGTGCTTGTGGAATGTAACAAATACATTTCTAGGTCTGTGTTGGTGTTCT